GCTTCAGAGCACTAATTCAACACCACTAATACACCACTAATGATGTGGCACTATGTGGACCCCATCACTGATGTGATAATTTAGCTTTTGCTTTTTTTTTTTTGGTTGCACTGCCAACTCATTAGAGCTGGCATTAGTGCTCCTATTTTAGAGTACTGACTCATTTCTCTTTTTTTAATATGTTATTAAAAAGCCTATATTTTGTATATTTATTTATAGGCTATCACCCTTTTTTTGCTTTTGTTTTTGTTTCATTTATTTATTTCCCTTTTAGAATTTTAGTAATAACACTGTGATCATTTTTTATTTTTGTAAATCCCAATCCACACTTGGCTTGAACAGATTTGAAAGTTCTGTGATTGGATGATTGAGTTCTTTTGATGGGTTTAATCCTCTAAAGTTTTGTTTGGGGCTTTTGTCTGGACTGTGAACTTAAAAGAATGAGTTGAACTAGGCCTTCAGTTTTGAGCTATTAATATTATATGGACTAAAATTATTTTGGGACCCCCAAATTTTATTAAAATTAAAGGGCCAAGGCAGTGGCCTTTGTTGTTTTGGCCTGTTACCCGAACCCCTTCATCTCTGATACCCTCTCCCCGGTAACCCCCCCTTCTTCCCCTCTGATCTCCCACCCCCAGTGGGTGTTTGTTGTATTGAGAAAGATAATAGGTTTTTGTTGCAGTATCGACCGAACCCTACACCGATTTTTCTACACCCGAAGTGGTTGATTTCAAACCATTGTTGGGTCGAAATTGGTTGACAAACTCTCCAATCCAAGGTGGTCAGTTTGGGTGATGGTTGACTGACAAATCTGAACCAATTCAACCTGTGAACAACCCTACTCACATTACTCCCTGAAAAAAGAAGACTCCTAACCTATTAAGGTGAGGAGGAACCAGCATTGACTATGGTCTCTTTAGGATTCCATGTTTTAAATTCTATCTTTAAAAATGAGTATATTTGATGAGATCTTTTATTGCAAAAAATTAAAATTAATGATATATGAGGCTTTCAATTGAAAAGACTAACAACTAATTAAACAACTATGAGATTGTCGGTGTGCAACTAACAACAGATAAATTTTATCACAATTTGTTAGTAAATGAATTTCCATATGATGCAAATAGTATTAGGCCAAAAGAACTTTATCCTTCATATATTCGAGCTACCATTATTAAGTGCATTAACAACATGGCAGCACAAGCTTAAATTGTAGAAGTATATATGTGTGGGTGCTAATTACCCCAATTGTTATAGATAAAGAAAATCCTATATCTGTGCATCCATACATTGCCGGCAAATTCCAAAGCAAGGAAAGCAACTCAATTGGCGATTGAAACAGAGGTATATGTTCTCTGTTACTTATCATAGATGACGATGTATACATTCATAAATTTATAATTAAACATAATAACAATAAACAATGTTCCAATCAAGCTCTTGACAAAATAGAGGAACATAAAAGAAAATGCCATTAATTGAAGTAGGTGTTTCTGTTCTTAATTGAAAACTTCCTTCTATCAAATTTTTCAATTTGTTAAATCTATTTTTCCTAACAAGAAAGAAACTATTTTTCCTAACAAGAAAGAAACCAAAGTTGCAAATTTCTTATATTTCCAAAACAATTAAGTCCCAACCTTGGTCCGCCAATCAGTATATGAACATAAACCCGATTGACATACAACTTTCTAATCTCTAAATCTTGAAAAAACGGCCAAACATATGTGGAAACTTACTGAAGAAATTAAAGTCCGTCAAGTCAATTGGGTATTTGAAGCGAACTGAGTTCTTCACATGAATGCATCAGATTTCTTGTTTAAACTCTTCAAAATTGAAAGATTCAACACAACTAAGCCCAACAACCAACAACAACTTGTTTGGATATTTCATCAAACAATGAGAGGGCATAGAGCATGAAACATAATAAACAAAAGTAATAACTTCATGCCTATGATTGCCAAGAAATCTGTAGGAAAAAGAACAAAAACGTTCCTGGAAGAGCTGTTGTTGTTTTTTTTTTTTTTGATCGGCGAACGTTAGTTGTTAGATTAACACCCTATGGGAATTAGCTTCCTCACCCTAGCAAAACACCAAGTGCTTGCCTCCTTAATTCAACTTCCCCTTGGGAAGAGTTGAATCTACCCCCTTGGGACTAAACTTTTAGGAGAATCATAGGCTAGGCCTGTTGTTGCCGACAATAGTAGCTCGAAAAGTAAAAGTCGTGAGGGAAGAGTAGATTGATGTAGTTTGGGACATGGAAGAACACAACAGTGGGGTGAGAAAAAAATTGGAAGCCAAGTCGGATTTTAGAGCAAGGCATTTTGCCTAGCAAAAGTACACATAAAAAAGTGCATTATGTATTCTGCTTAGACACTTTGCCTAGTGTATACTTCAACAATGCTCTCTACTCCTGGAATCTTAGGATTGGTTTGCCTAATCCAAGTCTCTCCACATGTAGTTAACCAAAAGAGAATGAGGCAAAATGTCTACCGTGTTGCATACCCTGTTGGAGACTCCATTTTTGGCAAAATGCCTAAAATGCTCTATATTCTTCGCCTATTGAAGACGCTCTTAGGCATGAAGTGATTAGGTCTGTGGTAAAGTTTCTATAGCGATTTCGGTTTTTCCTTCAGTGTTTAACAGTATTTCGGACTTGGGTTTTGTGCAGTTGGTTGTTGTATATGTCTTGTTGTCATCCTTTTATTCTATATTTGAGTTTTAGGATGTGTTGGGCGTGTTTCGAACAGGTTGATTGAGCTTTGGTCCCATTCCTTGTTGCCCAGATTTTTGGTGGTCCGCTCGAGCGGGTCCCTTTGCGCTCGAGCGGAGTTTACACACTCTCAGCATTTTGTGCCTCTGCAAAACTTCTGCAGGTGCATTTTTCACTCTCGAGTGGATTTCATTACGCTCGAGCGGGCCTCTTGGCGCTCGAGCGGGTGTTCATGTCTGTAAAAGTACTGGAGGGGTAAAATCTATGCTCGAGCGGCTTTTCTTTTGCGTTCGAGTGGGTGTGTTTTGCAGTTGTGTCTTGGCGCTCGAGCAAGCATTTTTGCGCTCGAGCGGGTCTAGATTTTTGTGCTTGACGCTCGAGCGTCCTATTCTCCGCTCGAGTGGACTAGTCGTATATCAGTTGACAACTGGGTCATTTTAGATCACTTTCTACATTCACACTCTCTCTCTTAGTTTTCAAAAACCAGATCTGAGAGCTTCTCTCACTACTTCCTACCTTCTCTCTAGGGTTTCATCTCACTTTAGTGTGTTTCTACCCTAAGTCCTTTGTAAGAAAGATAGAGGGTGGCTTGGGCTTCGATTTAATCTGAGAAATATTGGTTTTGGAGCACTTTGGATTTCGGTCAACTTCTCCTTTGGGCTTCTAATTTCGAGGTAGGGATTCCTACTCATTCTTATATGCTTTAACATAGATGTTGAACTATTTGTATAGATGGTTTGATTTGGGAAGTTAGGGTTTGAGTTATGTAATAATGAAAAGAGGGATTTTATTCTTTTGGCTCATATATAATGGTTTTGGGTCTAAAAAGGAGGTTATTGATGTTAGTTGTCGATATTTGGACCTTTGGGTCAATATTGGAAAAATGGGGAAAAATGTCATGTTTGGGTGTAATGGGGTCATTTATGTAATTAATGACATTTATTATGAGAATATGAAATTGAGTTGAATATAATGAAATTGGCTCATTATGAGATGGAATAGTGAAATTGGATTTATTAATCGCTCACTTTTGAAAATGTTGATAAACTATCTGTAGATGCATTTATTATCTGTTTAGAAATAATTGCTTTGGGCTATCAGTGGAGGATAGTCGTGATTGTTGTAGACAATGCATGATGATTAGGCAAACTGGAACTAATCAATTGACTATGTCATCGAATATGACAATTGAAATAATACATCGAATTTGTGTATTGATTGAACATGTATATGATAGTTGTTTATATACATTGTGTTGTGTGGGAGGAGATAGGGAATGTACTCCACGGTTTAGGGGAAGATAGGGGATGGACTCCTAAACCAGATGTTATGTGGAAGGAGATAGGGGATGGACTCCATTGATACAGCAATTCTGTGTATCTATTGAAGTGTTGATACAACAAATCCGTGTATCACTTGTGAAGTAAGGAAGTGTTTGTATGTGTTAATGATACAACAAATATGTGTATCAGTTGAGACTTATGGAAGTATTTTGTTATGAGTTGTTATCTCATTTGAATTATTGAAATGGAAGAACTGTTGACATGAGATGAAATCTCTGTTAAAGTATATGGCCAGGTTCTGAGCTAGGGTTATGGATTGGAAATTTGGATAAGAACTGGAATGAAACATGGACACTTGGTCATGTAATTGAAATGGGTTATGAATTGATTTATGTGAGTTAAACATTTATCGATTGCTAATGTCTTAGTTATTGCTTATATTATGTTTAGCATATCTCTACTGGGTATTGGCTCACCCTATATGAGACATCATTTTCAAGTACAGGTAGCATGCCACCTCCAAGGACGTAGCTTGAGAGACTTAGTGGCTGGGACATCTTTTGTGATTACATTCTTGTATTACATGTATATCAAGCCAATGGCTTATTTTGTATAGAGTTAGTACTCTTTCTTTTGTAACCAAGTGTTGACTTGGAAAGTTATAAATCCGTAGGGCATTTGCTTTTGTTGTTAACATGTAATACATTTGTAAGAAATACTCTGATGAAATGTATTTTTGCTTTATTCTCTTGTCTAAACATGTCAATATTGTATGCTTTATGGGTTTATTTTGAGGGCATTACAGTTTCATTTTTTACCTCACAATAATTCTAAACAGCGGTTGATTAAGCTGTGAAAATGTGCCTTGTTCTTAAGCAATGTTGGAATTGAAAAATACATTACACAATTTCACTTACCGCTTCACACCAAACTAAGTTGCACACATTACATAATAGTATAGACAGTATAGATAAGGCATATCATATATCTATCATGAGGGACAAACAAAATGTGAAACTATATCATCCATGATTCAATTGAAACCATATCCAAAAAAAAATATTGATATGTCTACAAAGATTTGATTACATAGAAATGAAAGATACTCAGAGATTACACAAGCAAATTGAATTGACATAACAAAATAGGGTCAGCAGCACTAAACCTGTAAAGGCTCTCAAACATTTTTGCTCTTCTTCAGCTTCGAAGGCGGCCATCGGCCCCTCTTCCTCATGCGGCGCTTCCACACAAGCTTCTTCCTTCGAAGCCGAATCTTCTTAGCCAATTTAAACTTCATCTTCTTTTCAAGATCCAATTGCAGCTTCGATTCCAATGGCAGATTTTCAACTGGAACAGCAGCAGCCTGTTCCTCGCCTTCCGACGGAGATGGAGGCTCAGCAACACCATCAACATCAGAAGATGCCTTAACAATCACCGAAACAACTCTTTCTTTGCGGACATTACAGAGTTTTGGGCGAGAATCAATGAGTTCCTTGCGTAACCTGAAGACTGAAATGAAATCAGAGAATTAGGAACAAAAACAAACATTGGAGGTCAGGTGTTTGAAAAAATGCCTGAATGAAAAGGCAAAGCATGGAGTAGAGATGGTAAGAAAAATATGCAGAGATAGAGAAGAATAGAGTTGAATTTCTTACATGGGTTTGCAGTGATGGGAAAATTTGATGCAGATAGGAATGATGATGTTGGTGAAGGAGAAGGAGAAGAGAGAGAGGAGAGAGAAGGGGTGTGGATGAAGAGGAGAGTCATCTCTCTCTCCCAACGGGCGTTTGATTTTTTTGGATAAGGCGAAGGTAAATAACTGTCGTACGTATTTATATGTAAGGCCCAGTGGAGGAGAGTGGACCTTAGGAAGGGATTGTTTGGGATGATTTAATAAATCACCAATTATATTAACAGTTCATTTTAGTTTAGGGTTTGTATTATTTTGATTCTTTATCTTTTAATTGTAATATATTTTATTTTAAATTTTAAATCTCGTTCTAAATAAGAATAATTGAAGATATTGTTATTCCATTTGAAAGGTAACGTCCTCATATAACTTATTTATGTTGGTTAACTTATATGTCGTTTGAAATATAATTGTATTTTTTTAATGAATAATGTTAGAACATTTTTTGTTATAAAGTTCTGTTTGGTTTGATTTTCAATTTTTTTTTAAGAAACTAAAAAGTAAATTGGTGAAAAAAAAAATAAAAAACACATTTTTTTTTATATATAATTTTATCTTTTGGGAGGGTATAAATAATTTTTTTTTATATTTATTTTCGTTAAATTATTTTTTATTTTTTCAAAAGTTAAATATGACGACAACTTTGATGTCAACCAATCAATTAAATCAAATAATTCAAAACTAAAAACATTTCATATATTAAACATATTGATTATACATTAAAAACCTAATAACCATCCATTACATTATAACCATAAAAAAAAATATGTTAATAACAAATACAACCATATATTATATGATAACCATCCAAAAATATCAACAAAAATAATCCCCCATTACATGATCATCATCCAAACGCATACTAAAAATTAATTTTTGATAAAAAATAAAAATATAAAAGATTTATTATTTTTATATAATTTTATTTTGGTAAGTAGAAATAATTTATAAATATTGAAAAATAGTTTTTTGGCATTTATTTTTGTCAAGCTATTTTATATTTTATCAAATTGATGACTTTGCTTTTGAAATGAAGCAACATTATCTTCAAGGGCAATGCACCAGTAAATCCCAAATCATCATCTTGTGATCTAATTGGTCCTATTTTATATCTTATAAACTAATAGGTCCCAGTCCAATGTAAATGACCAAATTATGTGTGTGACCCTGCGTGTGGCAGCTTATAGCAAGGGTAGATATGGGTTTTCGCAATGTTGAATTTACTTATATGCCCAAAAACGTTATTGTAATATTTTGTTACTTTCCATCCAAACCCATTTGAATTGAATAGTCGTAGATGGAAAGGACTGGAATATCTGATGTTAATGGCGTGATGTTGGCAAGATTTTGGTTCATTGGTAAGTTGTAATGAGGATTCATTGTGGATTGGTATTGTGAAGCACCATTTTTTATGGCATTGTAAACCCTAGAAAATACTGATCCCCTGTTCTGGTAATACGTTTACGTCAGGGGGTTAGAGAGGCTGTGTAGCTGTTGTGTTGTCGTACGCCGATCGGGAAACCCTCCATTCGTCAACGACGATGATTGTGTTTGTTACAAATGGTGACAGGTACGTTGTTTCCAGTTGATGTCTAGTAGTAGTTTGGTGTTTGTGATATCTTATTAACAATATTATAGTCTGAAATTTGTGTCGCTTTGTTAGCCTGCTTCAATAGTATGGGTGGGTTTTGTGAACTGCATGATTGGTACATGTTTCAATGTGAATGGTTGTTCATTTGTATGTGTGAACCACTGAGAATGTTTTTGTTGTTTCCGGTTGATGATTTGGAGTAGTTTGATGTGTGTGATACGTTATTAACAGAATGTTGTATTGAGATTTGTGTCACGTTGTTAGCCTGCGTGAATGGTGTTTGAAAGGTGTGGGTGTAATGTAAAATGTGGTATGTGAGGTATGTTCAATTGTAATGTGTAGGTTGCAAATGTGTTGGAGTGATTGGTGGCATGGCATAGTTGGTGGGCTGGATGTTTTTTTGCTATGATGTTTTGTTGTTTGAAGATGTCATGTGTATGTAATTGGTCGCAGGAGGGGGTGCTTGGATAATTTATGTTACTGTAATGGTAGCGATATGTGGGTTTTGTGGGGGATAGTGTGCGGGTGGATAGTGGTTGGGATAATTATGTAACAGTTTGGACGATTAAGCGTGGTGATTTCGGTGTTGACGTGCAGGTATACGGTGTTGATAGGGGCAAAGAAATGTAGGTTATGAGAATGTAAATAATTTGAACATATATATACATCGCACAACACGTATTGAAAATATGCTTCGTGATGTGATTTTCATTTGTTAGCATTCCCGAAACAAACAGTGATCGTTGTAACGGTTGTTGGTATAGGTTGGCGTAGGATGGTGGGTGTAGTTTATATGTTGTCATGTTGTAATAATGTTATGTATGGTGGTTTGCATATGGTGTTGTTGATGTACATGATGTTATTACCATTCATTATACGATTGGCACATAGGTAAGAGTTGGATGTGTGGTAGAGTAGAATGGGTGTTTTTAATTAAATTGGTTGTTGTAATGATAGTTATGATGTTTCGTTTATAGTTGAGCTGGTTTGAATTTAAAATTGACTTGTTTGTGTGACTCTCATTTCAGGTAGTGCTGGGAAGAGAAATGGAAAAAGCATCGCTAGAATACCATGGTCACAGTAGTCTGGTCAAACGTCAACCAGATTGGCCCCAAAGAGGCAATCACGACTGGCATTCAAGAAACAAAAAGTGAGTACTAGTAGTCGTAATAAGGCTGAAGTTGACTTGTCGAAGCTAATGTACCGGTCCAACATATTGGGGGTGATTAACACTGTGCGTGAGTTACAGTTTGGTGATGGGCATATTCGGCAATTACAGAAAACCCCCTTTTGGGTGATGATTGACGCTATTCGTGTTCACAAGCTAGATTCAAAGTCGTTTTAAAAGTGTGATGCCACAGTGTGTCGAATTATACAAACGTACAACCCGAAGGATGAGAAGTTTTACATTGGTGGTGCGAAGTTATCTTTGCAAAACAATTACATTCGGTTAATAATGTGCGAAAGGGCCTTCATATTTCATGCAACGACGATGCCCAAACGTTGGTCGGTTATCTTCGAAAGTGATTAAGGATAAGCTAGTAGAAGCAATCTATGAACAGACGGAGCGCGACGAAGAAGACGTGGCGAAACTATTTTGTCTTTATATTTGTGCGAAGCTATTTTTTGCAACTAGTAGAGAGCATATAGGGTGGGCTTTTGTCCGTGGGATTGATAAGCTGGAAACATTGAGACAGTACGACTGGATTGCGACAATCCGAAACACGCTGGTTAGTTCACTCACTGAGATGCACAACAGGCCGGAGCGGGTAACTGGTTGTGTTGTCACATTGCTAGTATGTATCGCATTTTGTATACAAGTTTTCATTGTGGTGCACATACGATTGTGGTATGTTTTTAATAACTTTACTTGATGGGCTGTGTTTTACTGTGTATTGCAGTTTCTTATATGTGAACATTTGAGTATTTTAACCCCAGAAAGGCCTAATGTGACCCCCAGATTTTGTCGATGGAACCTTGGCACACTTGTTGTGAAGTTGAAAGTGTTAAACTTGTAGGCTGAAGATTGTATTCAGGTATGCGATGGAAAAAAAAGCAGAAAGCATTGATTGGGTTTTACATCTGGTTTTTTATGTGTGAGGTTTGGTGTTTTATGCAGGTGAACTGCAATAAACTTGTCAAGACGATTAAAGAGTGTCATTCTTTAAAATTTGAGGTGATTGACAGCAAGCCAATCGAGTCTGGTACGATTGTTCTTTGTGTGGATCCGGATACCGTGGACGATGGACGAGGGACTGATGTTGATATGGATGATGTGTTCGTTATGGAGCCTAGCTTCAATTGTTGGAAGCCTTGTTCTGCAAATGGTGGTCAAGTCAAGCCTGAAGGATTAACTGAGTCCGAGACTGATAACGATGAGACGTCAGAGAGTAAGGGAAAAGTGGCCGGGAAGATGTCAGCATCTGGGGGGTTATGTCCGGTATTTTCCCCAGATCTTCTTGAACTGTCATGCACACCGAATGGTGATGTCGTTCGTACCGAACCAGCGGGGATACAAGATGAGTTAGAACAGCTGAAAATGAGAATTAGTGAATTGGAGGGGGAAATTAGAACGAAGTCTGCACGGGTATGTGAATTAGAAGATCGTATAGAAGCGATGGAGAAAATTCTTGGGGCGCAGGCTGCTAATATGCTCATAGGATTTGACAGTGTAATTGTTGGGAAGGATGCTGAGATTGCACGACTCAATAAACTGGTCCATCAGTTGGAGAAGAAAGTAACCAATTTAGAAGACAGCCTTGATAAGTGTGAGGTGCACGTGGTGACGCAGTCCATGGCAAATGATGTATGCGAGAATCCGTCACCTGTTACTGTCACAACCCCAAACCACCCCTAGTAGTTTGGTGCCGTGATGGCCAGTAATCCGAGATTACCAAAGGCCAACTTTCAAAATTCACACACAACAGAGTATAAATATATGGGGCTCACAAGTACGGAAGCGATACATACAATCAGATTAGTCCATAAGAGCTGTGCATAAATCAAATAAAATAGCAACCATCTTCATATGGGTTACAACTTAATTACAAACGAAGCAAAGTACAAATTATATCTTACATATTAACAAAGGGCTTCACAAGCCGACACAAACAAAATGTACGAACTACAGGTCAAGGAACGAAGTCTGCCAGATTGCCGACATCCTCGTTGCCGACGTAACATACATACGAAACATACATCTTGATCAAAAGGCTTCTCAAGCCGACGTATGCAACATACAAGTACTACAAATCGAGAAGCATAATTTTCAAGACTGCCGACGTAAATATAGGTTAAGCCGACATAATCAAAATCCAAAATAAGCTCCAGAATCACATCTAGGCGTCACTGCCTTCTTGTTCATCACCTACATATATATAGAGAGGGTGAGCTTGGATACTCAGTGAATGGTATAAATAATAAAGGGGTTCGCATGAATAATAGCCGAAGTCTTTTAAAACCATAAAAGTCAAAACTTTAGATAACAAGGGATGAACCTCGTCCATCTAACAAATCTTCAAAGCTTCAAGAGATA